AGAGGGGGAGCAGTGTTAGCACTATCTACTTTCAAGGGAAATTATGTGAAGTTTTTCTATTAAGTTTTGTCGTTCCAGAATATTTTTCGGGTATTACTTTGCCTCATCAGCACTTCCCAGTCAATGTTTTACCCAAAGATCCATATCTCCCACCCTTGATATCTACACAGGAGGAGAGTGTCTTGGATAACCAAGAGTAGTGAGACTGATGAAGGAGAATGAGTCATAAATCATAAAATAATTTGGTTTTAACAATTGAGGTGATTAAGTGAATTGGCCATTGTGAAGAGATTCTAAAAAGTGGTTAGCCTTTCATGAGAACTTGGGATTAATTCCATGAGAAGCTAACCCTCAAAACATCACCTTTAGAAACTTTTTATTGTGGCCAATTCACTTATCAACTCAGTTGATGAAACCAGACTATCTTGTAATACCACCCCTCCCCCCTGACACAGCACCGGTTTCTTTAGAGACTCTCCCCTTTATTAAAAAATTACTAATTTTACAGAAGAGATAATTAAACTTTCTTATCATCTTTAAATGATAATTATTGCATTACATATTTTTAAGCATTTCAAACAAACTCTTATACAGCCAAAGTAATGGAAATAATTTTGTTAGCAGTTTTGGAGGCTGTCTCTGCTCGGTGAAATGCATGAAACATGTATTTTGGACATTGGTTAACCCTCTAACTCCTTGAAGTGATTAACATGTAACTTCTCCCATTTATATCCATACATTGTCCACCAAACAGGTAATGAGAATACTCAAACTTATCAGGTAGTTGTTACCTTGATCTAACACCAAATTCTTGTTACTAATTTATAAGGTAATATGTAGCAGCTAAAGGGAAGACAACAAACATATCTTAGGAGTTAGAAGGGTAAACCTCCTTTGTGGAGGAAAAATTTTTTGCTTAAGCTAACCTGTTGGAGGATTGATTTAATAAAATAATCATCCTTACACTGTAAGCTTTTGACCCTCTTTGTGATGTTCTCAAAAGCAAATGTTCAGATAAAAGGTTCAGCTAAATTGAGGATTGTTTAGGACACAGTTTTATAAAATAATTCAAATAGTACGCACACTCTGATTGGCCACAAAGCCATTTTACATGAGCGTATGTAAACACGGTTTTCCTACTGAATCTTCTCGTGGAGTTCTCCCTGCTATTTATTTAGCAGTAACTCAGTTTCTTTAAGTTTGTTTGAGTACAGTAATGGAAGAAGAAGATTTTCCTAATTTTTCTTTGGAGTTTAATTTCCCCAGTATTCAAGAAATGGCTAAAAAGCCAAATGAACAACAACAACAAGCACGTCGCTTTCCTTCGTTGCAAGAAGAGGCTCTTTCATTAGTTATTTTATAAAAGAAATGTAAAATGGTTTCCGTGCTTACATAGCCTGATGTAAACACTTGGGAGGTTGGGAGAACACTTGATAAGCTGGAAACCACTCCGCTTCGCGTTGTGGTTTCCTACACTTATCTCATGTTCTCCCAACCTCCTGCATGTTTACATCAGACTATGTAAACACGGAAACCATTTTTACATTTCTTCAATGATAAACAGCAGCTAAACCTTGTTTATACAATCAGACCAAAGAGTCTGATGTAATAATTACAAATTCTGCAAAGTGTTCATCACCTTGAATACCTGTAATGCTGTCAGTCATCTTATGGAGATAGTCCAATATAGTTTGGTATTATTTACAAATATTTATGAAAAAAAATTATACATGCACTTGGATTGATTGGATTGATGCATCCATTAGATGACTGAACCATTAACAATTTTTTCTCATTTTTTTTGTTTTGTCTTTTTTTATCATATAAAAAAGCAGAGTCTTTGCTGCCAGGGGTCTGTTCAGTAATATATCATGAAAGACATCAAAATGTGTTAAGAACATCTGTGACACACACTGCTGCCCCTCATGCACCACTTTCTTGTTCCTATCAAATCTTGATGTCATCTGTGATCTCTTACTGAGCGGAAACACAGCAACATGGTAACTATTCATTGAATGGAGAGTAAGTCCAGAATGGTCTTGTTTTATTTATGAAAATTTATATATTGCTTCAAGCAGGTTTACACTTATGTTCTTAACATCTCCATAAGGAATAATTTGGTGTATTTGTTGAATAATAATTAAATATTCCTCAACAAAATGACTATTACCAATAAATTCTTACCATTTGTAGTTATGGTTACATCTGATTTTGACTGTACCATTTGGTTTAATATTGCAACATGTAGATTATATTACATGATGAGGTCAACAGGTTATGAGTTAGCTGAATTGGATCCATCTGATGGGAAGTCCTTCCAATCGGTCAGAGTTATTGCACTCAACTCACTGTCTTGCTAGGAAGTTGAGGAACAAGAGTCAAATGAAGACCCTTTTTGTTGGTCAGGTGCACAAAGTCATAGACAGAGTCACCATAATGGGCCCTTGAATAGTCTTCCAAGAGGGATTGAATTGTGTTCTGGTTTAAACTCCTTCAGCTGCAAAGCAGGGATGACTCTTGAAAAGGAAACTTGCGACTTCAATACTCAAACATCAGCAATATTCCTAGAGACTGGAAAGGATCCATCTAATACACAATCTCTCCAATTGGTAGAAGTTTCTATGGTTGGCAGTGTGTATGGTCCACACACCGTTGTACAAGGATATTGAGAAATATGAATCAAATGAAGACCCTTTTAGTTACTCAGGAACACTAAGTCTGATGCACAAAGTCACAACAGTGGGTCCTTGATTGGTCTTTGAAGATTGGAGGGATTGAATAATTATTGTGTTCTGGTTTGATTAGTTGGTTTTTAGCAACACAAATCAAGGTGACAAATTGAAACAACCAATCATAGCACAGTTTGGTGCTTTGTACAGTGACACAAAGCCAACAAACCCTCTGATTACCATCATGATAGCAGTACACTGTCATCATAAACATTGGAATTAACAATACAAGGACTGATGTAGAGACATAATTCACAGATTTCAACACACACAGCTGTAACCTTTTTCCAACTACACAATCTCTTACAGAGAAAGATAATACATTAAGTTTTTGTATGCATATTTGTCCTCAGAACATTGCTGTTTCCTAAACAATTCTTCAAAAGTTCGTAAGTGGAGTTAATTATTCCCCAAGACACAAGAGCACGAGTGTAGTTCAGTGAGACTCCATAGAAGAGCCGTCGTGTTCTCCTTCCTCTTTCATTAAAAACTACAGTGAAAGCTTTGAAACAGTTCACAAATTCTCCACCCAACTGTTTTTGCATGTGGTTTTTCACAACATTAACTGGAAAGAACAATGTGCTCAAACACGCCCCCAAAACAGCTCCACTAACAAAATCATTGGCTGCATTTCCAATACTAGTTTTTGCCTCCGGTAGAATGGACTTTAATGGGCCTCTCAAGCCAAAGAATAACACATTAGTGGGTCCATTCCTCAACAGTATCGGAGTAAGCCCTCGATAATATTCTCGCAATCCATATTGCACTCCCACGACTTTGAAAGCTTGAAATGTGTTGGAAAACCTTTCGTTGTGCCCACGATGAGACATTAAAGTTTGTATTCGTTCAAATGGTGTAAAAAGTGCTTCTATCGTTCCCGCTAGCATTGCTGCTATTGCACTAGTGGCCACTGAAGAAGTGCTTGTTAAATTACGAGAAAGCATTCTTTGGAACTTGTTGTATGAACCAAACATAATCGCCATTGAAGTTCCTTTTTGCATCAATGGTGGAACAACTCCACGATAAAGGTTCCACACCCCTTCTCTTAGCACCTGGCGCACTGCATAGCGAATCCTTAACCCCTCAACTTGCTGCCGAAACATGACTTTGTAGGCGGGGAACGTCGAGAGAATGTTAACAGCAGCTGCTCCTGCTCCGCAAACAAAATCAGGCCAGTCTCTGTCATCTTTTGTTGAAGAATCAGACGGAAACCTTTCTACTGACTGCGTAGAGTTTAAAGCCATAAAACAACGACCTTCTCCAACACAGCTACCTTCTTTCCAATTACAACATTCAGGGCGCCATATTGAATATTTAGCGTAGCATTCCCATAGTGCAACGCTGTAGTATTTTGACGTCATGACAACAGTGTGATTGTAAAACAATATGGCGGGGTGAGATAGTAAGCTGAGTGTTTTACGAAGCATGGTTAAGAGGTCGTATTAAACACTTAGGTCATATTTAAGCGATGTCTGGTCCATTAGGCTCGCCAAATCAAGTGATAACCACCTTAGATGAAGACGGACTTCAGGAATTGTACACTTGGATCGATGAAATTAATTTATCTCGCCCAAAGCGTAACATTTGGAGAGATTTCAGTGATGGAGGTAAATGTAATAATTTCTTACGCCTGTAAATCGTACAGACATCGCTGATTTACTGTAAAGAGGTAGTTTTACTTAATAATATCTAAATATGGCGACAAAAATCACCGTCTTTTCGTTTCTATAATAAACATTAAATCAAAAGATCATTACGTATCCATTAAGGACTTTGTTTGTTGACATTACGTACCATGTCACTGCTGTGGATTTCTAATAGTTTTCTTTCTCATCGCCTCTAGGTTAACTTTTTAAAAAAATTTTTGGACATGTTTACTTGTCAACACTTTACGTTCTCGAACGAATCATATTAGCTAATTATTAGATGATTTGAATTCACATGATTGGCCACGTTGGTGCATGATGATCAATTAGTTTGAAGAAATGATTGCCAGCGATTTAACCCCGGCCTATATAGTTGATGGAAGCGGAATATCGAATAAAAAAGCTTTGATCAATATAATTAGTCAATTGGCATCGATTGGTACGTACAGATCAATCAATGATCGATAAATAGTCTTATTATCCTACTGCGCAAAGTAGAGCACAAGTAACGCACGAATAGAGTACAAATATCCTGCGTTATTGTACAGTTGGTTATTTTCACCTGTTGCATATTGACTCGCCCCATGGGCTCTTCGAAATACAGCACAACTTGTAAAAATATTTGGTGATACTACACACCAAAATGTCTAATAAGATATACAGGTACTTATTAGGACCATTTCACTGTGGGCCCACAAAATCTGGTAATGACTCTACCAAATTTTTAGACTAAATTTCCCCGAATCTGAATTAGTCTTGCAACAACAGGGTGCACTCAGACATACAGAAAGATATTTGTGAACCACAAAGTGTCAATTGTTTAAAGCCATAAACAAATTGATCACCGTGTGTTACCTAATCTCTTGGTGGGAAAGGTTACATGTGATATTTAACCTCTTTGAAAAAAAATGTTGCCTTGGCTGTACTGAGCTGTACAATACTCTTTTTTTTCGTTTTGGTGGAATCTGTAATAATTCAGGCCAGAGCAACTTATCAGCCTTGCCTGTGAAAACTGAACTCCACCTTGTTTAAAAACAGATATCATAAAAAGGTCACTGAACAGTTGTTTATTGTACAGCTCAGATTTACAGCAAAAATTTGCTTTTATGGTACTACTTAGGGGACTATCTTAATCTCATTTCTGCATGGGTAGCCACTCAAAATGTGAGATTCCTTTCAGAAATTGCCCACACAGGGATCTACCCATGTTATAAACAGTAATGCATATACATGTGAATGGAAGGCTGTGTCAGTCACTGTAATGTTGTGTTTGTAAAAACCTAGTGGCATGCAATTTCAAATAATACTGTTTAAAAAGTTCCAGCTGCAATTTTAAGTAAATTTTGCTTCACCCTTCATCCCCTTAGAGTGACTGGTTTTGAATTTCTTTTCACATTATCACCCCTGAATCAAATGTCAAGATCATGAGGGTAAAGAAAATGGTCGCTAAGAAGCTCTTGATTGTTAAACAAATTCTCCTTCATCAGTATCTTAGGAAATGTAAGGAGAACAGTGTGGAGAATATTACTACCAATGTTAGGGTGTAAAACCATTGATATTACATATTATTTGGATGGAAAGTTTAAGGGAGCATATTTGATTTTATTTTTCAGTTCTTGTAGCAGAAATTGTAGCACATTTTCTACCCAAAATGGTGGAACTCCATAACTATTCCTCCACAAGTTCACAAGCCCAAAAGCTCACCAACTGGGATACTTTGAATAGTAAGTACACGGAATGCTGAGCCTGATGTTATTGGCTGTAATTGGCTATGCTGTTGTGGTGTCCCTGCTATTTTTGTCATTTTTTGTCGTTTTCTTTAATTTTTTTTTAATCTATTTATTTTGATTGTTGTTATATGGCAAAGTTAATAAATAAATAAATAATGAATGTATCAAATAAATAATGAATGTATCTTAGGATTGTCACTTCAAAATGTACTTTGGTTTTATCACCTGAGTTGCTAATATAGATTAGCCTCTGTTAAGACTTTCTAATCAAGGTGAGGTTTCAATTGTTAGCCCTTTGATGTTTGCTCTGACAAAGGACTAATGCTTGAAATGACTTCAGCTAAAGATGCTCTTTACAGTGGCCAATTTACTTCATCAACCCAGTTGATACAACCAAATTATCTTGAACTATTATTGTAGCATCTCAGTTTCTTTAATTAGATACTTAATTCCTTAATTCTCTTCGAAATAATTTTCAATTAAACTTTTGGGAGTTGGAAGTATGATATGAATTGTATATAATTATTTAATGCTCAAGTGTCAAAAAATAAGTGGTGACTATATGCTTAATTTCATTGATGTGTGTTTTGTTTTCAGGAAAAGTTTTTTCAAAACTTAACTACACTGTACCAAAGGGTACCATTAAGGAGATTGCAGAGTGCAAGCCTAGGGTGATAGAAGTTGTACTAGCAAATCTGAGGATGAAGGTGAGCAGATTTATGAATTTTTTTGACCAGGCCTCTTGATATGATGAATTATGCAGTTTCTTGAATTTTGAGATTGGTTGTGTTTATTGACCAAATGTGCAACATTGCACCTTTCTGTCATACCAAGGTCTTTGTAGACTCAATTACAACCTTGGTAATTTAACATTGTATTTACCTTTTCAAGCTGAAAATGTCTCAGAAATGAATGTGACATACTTCCTCTAACAAAGAAACTCAAAGAATGTACTTTCACACCAACTTTATTATTTCACGTCCCTGTAGCTTCACCTTTTTTCTCTAAGTAGAAATCAATGGCTAAATTCCTCCTTCCTCTCTATCCCCCTTGACAATTTTAGTGCAAGTCAGACTAAAGATTAGGATATCAGCAGATGCGTCAATTAGGCCTGAGGGAGGAGGTGTGCACCTTTCATGAAAAATTTTATCTCCTCTATTAAGAGTAGCACCACTTACAATGCGTAGTTTTCTTCATCTATGATAACAGGATGGGACATGATTTTGCTCATGAAGCTGTAGCCTCAGGTAGTCTAGGTAGTGTAGTCAGAGTCAAGGGGTGATTTGTGCGACAAGTAATTTACTGGTGTAAGGGTTTCAGTAATGGTTGGTTACCAGCAGTCTACCACTCCCTAAAAGACCAACTACCAGCACCTGTTTAGCCTGCAAGCAGGCTCTGATGCTTGGGTGTTGCCTTTGGGTTTCTTTCCCAAGTACGGCTGCATATGGAAAAAGTAATGGATATGCCTGATGGTGTAATTGTCCTGTTAGTATTGAAGCAAAGCAACTCAGTTGGAAATTGGTACAAAACAATTGTGTATTTTAGATTGAGAAGTACATTGCAAAGAAGAAAGCAGACACTTTAAGAAAACAGCAGCAAGTGTATGATGAGTTCTCACCCAATGGGCCTGTCTCAGATCATGAACCATATCTGTATAATGATGGGCAGGCATACTTAGGTAGGGACAAACTCATGGTCAATGCTGAACTTAAAATTTTTTAAGTTTGTAGGTGATGTTGTGCCTAGATGATGTTGTGATGAACCCAAACATGTAATTGCAAGCTTGTCTGAGCTGTTTTGAAATGACAATTATAAACATACAGTTGGAAACAAGATCTAGTTGCATAATTTTTTTTCAATTAAGGAAGTGACTGCATGGAAGTCAAATGCCAATAGATGAAAGCCCCAGAAATACCAAAATAGAGTACCAGTACATCAGTTTATTAAGATTTTTCAAATCGAATCATCATACTGTGAGTGGCACTGTACTAATTGGTGTGCTTTACAATTTTCAATTGTGGATCATGGCCAAGATTTTCTTGGACTTCAAAATTGTCTGTCATATACAGGGTATATGAAAGTATTACTAACAGTGACTCCAACAACTCCTGTAGGTTACTATACTGTTGCTGGCTCTGAGTTCTGTATTAATGTTTTGATAATCCTACAGGTCCGGAGAATAACTATGGTTATGCATTCAATACTAGTTATGCACAAAGGAACCCAGTTAATGATGTGAGTCGTGTTTGTCTTCCTCTTTTTTTAGTTTAAATCGAATACCACATTCCCTTCTTGATGTTGAGTTTTTTTCTTCCAATTTTCTTGATACAACAATTTTGGAGAAGGAGAGCATATCATTGGTACGACGATTGTCATGACGATTGCCGATCAACTTTATTTGCATTCACTTCATGAGCACATTAAACCAATGCATACAAGATTTTATGGCCTTGAAACCCACTGTCAACTTAAGAACAGACAAACAAACTAAAGTCAAACAAAAGGAAATAAAGTGGAAAAGTAGAAAACCTTAACCTTTGTTTTTGTGGTGGCATGTATATTCTGATATTTATTTATCAATATTATTTATCATTTATTGTGACGTTTTTGTATTAGGCTGGTGGTTCTTATGGAGCACAGTCATACCAACCTGGACTCAATGGTAGTCCCAGGGGTGGTAATGCTCGGCAGAAGAGTAAAGACGGTAAAGGAGGACCTCTTGGTGAGAAACCAAAGTTTGCACCTGCTCATCAAGGAAAAGGGTAAGTTTTGTTTCTGGATTTTAACCGATGGTGAACTTAAAGAACGTTTGCAGGTTTTTGTTTCTTTAAAAGATATTTTCGCTGGTGTCGTGTAGGCTCTGCCGTATTGCTTGAGAATTTTGACTCCTAACATTTTTTTTTCAGTATCTGAGCTTCGCAAAAACAGTGGAAATTTGTAACTGCCATTTTTATTTTAAACGAGTGTTTTTAATACACCCAAGGGCGGGTTTCCACGCGCAACCCAAAGAAAGTGTATGAGTGTGAGAATGTGGGGCGAACCTGGTACGACGCAAGGGAAATGGGCTTTTGCTCATGATTTCATTGTCTCCGTCTACGCAAAAGAGACAGCGACGGGAGCAAGGCAGGGAACGGAGCAGTTGTTACGTTTTGGCAGCGTAATTGGCCACTTAGACTGCTAGTTCAGGATTTTCCGTAGTGGACTCTGGGGGAGCGGAGCGAACGTGATCTGGGCAGGAAAATCGCGATGGGTTTCGTCGTTTTTGGGATAGTGGTGTTTATCTTTTAAAACATGCGACCGAAATGCCAGAAGTTTAATCATTTTCTGATCAGAAAACGATTCAATTACCTCTATGAAAAATAATTAACTGAAAACTTTGTTGCTCACAAAGGGATATCTTGGGCTTGTGATTATACCAGTGTTTCTCTTTGGTTTTGTAGAAAGGTTCCTCGGTCTCAATCATATCAAGATATAAATGGAACTATGGATCCTCAGAACCCTCGATTGCTACTAGAGGAAAAAGAACAAGCTTTACTTGCCTCTCAAGAAACCATACAGGTGAGTGTATCATATATTTTATCTACAGAGAAAGGGTGTTTAAAGGCAAGTTTGTTAGGACCGGCCAGCGAGAAATGGGAAGAGCAAACAGACAAATTAAATGGATGGTTTGACCCCTTGACTCCTTGATGTTATTGTTAATTCTCCTCTCTAACTGCTCTCCATTTCCTTGTAAATGTAGTTGCAAGAATTTGGTGTTAGATCAAGATAACAACTTCATTACCTGATAAGCGTGGGTACTCTCATTACCTGTTTGCTGGGTAAAGTATGGGCATGATAGGGAGAAGTTACATGTTAGTCACACAATCAGGCTAGCGTGCGAGCAGGCCCTCGTTAACAGCGTTGCGGCGCGAACGTTTCTTCGCCTGGAGCAAAGCGAGCAGGCGGGAGGTCTAAAAGGGATCTGGCACTAATTATCGGCCAGCGTTGCGCAAGGCCTCGAACTAGGCTCATTAGAGTATTTACCGTAAATAGTAGTTTAGAAACTCTAGTATCTACACTCGAGTGAGTTGAGGTTTAGACAGTTGATTTCCACCATTGCATGACGCGGGTCTGAATATTTTCGCTTTATTCTAGATTTTGAATGTCAAAATTCGACGACTCGAGCACCTACTGCACTTAAAAGATTTGAGAATAGACGACTTAACAAAAAGACTACAGCAAGTTACCCAACCACCCCCAAGACAACTACCACCACAACCCAACCCACCCTTCCCCCCTGCTGTGGACCCATCTATACCATCTATGCATATGCATCACCAGAATCCACTTCCGCCATTACATCATTCATCCTATAATCCACAACAGCTACAGGAACATTAGTCTTTCATACAAGACAATATAAGATGTCTGAACGGAAGCAGGAGCTGACATGTGGTCACCGTACGTACCGTGTTATGGCGTGGTGTTAAGATAATCTGTCTTAGAACAATGGAAGATAACACATGAAGGGCATATATCGCTGAAAACACGCAATTAAGTAATTAAATTAAAGTAATTATACCAGACGTAATTTTTTGGCAATGCAGTACATGTACACTGTGCTTGTAAGCGTAAATTTCGACCGGGCAGAAGTAATCGTAGTTGCGTCAGGGATTTTACTCTACGATTTAATTTTGCAGTTTGATATTGTTCTGTACATATTTTAGGTAATTGGTATTGTTTAATCACACCACAAAGTGTGCAAGTTACAGTTAAATCTGGAACATAAACGTCGAAATCTTTTTTAGAACCCGAAAAATGCAGTACTGTTTTTATTGAAGAAACGTAATGAGGCTTTTTATGCCCCCTTGCTGCTTACTGTTCTGGGATTCTCCTTAACCCAATGACACTACTGACCAAATGAAGTTCTTGAAAATGTACGTTTACTGAACACCTATCGACGTGTAAATAAGATAGATCGTCGCGTAATATTTATATTCAAACCAGGGTAAACAAAATAAGATTTTGGTAGGAAGAACAATGTTCGTGAAGATAAGCGAGGAAAAGAGAAGTTAAAGGGGATCAACCGACCGATAGTTATTTAATCATTGTAAATGTATGTAGGCAATGGAGCGGACCTTTTCAATTGGTGCACAAATTCCGGAGGGTGCATTTGGGACAGACCATAGGTTTAAAATTACTTGTGAGAATCTTAAGCACTGGTTGCTCTTGTAGAGACTGAGTAATAAACTTATAGTTTATCTTGTTAGGCCCATGTTTATATTGGTATATCTGTGCAATACACAGTTGCAGAACACCATGTCTTGTTTTTAAAATCACATTTCCCAAACGTGGTCACCGTGAGTGCTCTATGATAAACTCCCTATTCCATTCACCGATATTCTCCTAATATAAATCCGCGCACGCACAAAAGTAAAGTTTACTTTTTGTTCTCATCTGAACGCCGTACACCGTATTCACAGTTTGGAAGGTTTATTTGAATCCAACATAATGACCAGCTCCCAGTTGGCTTGTTAGCTCAGTTGGTTGAGCGCTGCACTGGTATCGCAGAGGTCATGGGTTCAAATTCCGTACCGGCTGAATCTTTTTAAGGCCTTAATTCAACTACTAGTTTTGCAGTGTTCATAACTGCGAGGATCGATTCTATATTCGTTTCTTCAATCGCAGTGCAAATATATGATTTTCATATCTTAACAGCCAAGGTTTAAATTTGTTTTCTTCATAGAGGCAGCTTAAACCAAAGTTTGATTAAAGGGGGTAAGTCTCTAAAGAAATTGTGATGCCGCGTCGGAAGGGAGTTTAACAAAATGATTTTGGTTTTATCAACTAAGTTGATAACGCAAATTGGCCACCGCAAAGAGTTTCAAAGCTGACATTTCGAGTGTTAGCCCTTCAAAAGAGCGAATGGAGGAATTGTGGGTCGTGTGTGTTAATATAAGGGGTATAATTTGCCAGAAGATGGTCGGGATTCATTGTAATTATACACCAATTCCAGGGGGAGGGGGGAGGAGGGGTAAACAATATTTTCAAGTTAATTTGCCCGAATTTTTTTTATTTAAAAGAAATTTTACATACTAAGATACAACGTTATGATGTCATTATATATATAAAAATTATTGCATAGTGCTCTTAAAACGGGCGAGTTAGTATGAAATTATTAAAGGCTACTTGTGGCCGGCATTGGTAACAATTTGATTAGATGCCCCGTGGAAACTGGGTCTCCTAAGGAACAATTTTTATCAAGATTGAATGAAATTTTGCAAATTACCTCAGCGAAGATATCAAAATATTTTCAGGTGGATGGAAAACTTTCCAAGCAATTATTATTTCGCTCCAAGAAAATTCAAGAACCCCCCCACCAGACCTGCGCAGACGTAACATGAATGATAGTCTTTTTCTTCTTCTGATAGGAAGAGGAGGAGCAGATATTTTGTACTTGTCTGTTTTAGACATCTAGCATCGGGGTTCTACATTAGAGCTTTGGTTCAATTTTTAATCCTCTCTCAAAGACTCAGCAGCCTAGCGAAGCGAAACTCTGAAGAGAGTGGTCCAAGTTATCTAGACCTTTTACAGAGCAAAGGAAGGCAAAACCGATGCGATTCCGGATTATTTTTTCCACTCGATTAAAAATTGCTCTATTTGGTAACTAACTTCACTCCTATCGTAAACTTCACCCGTTCATGACATAACAAAAAAACCCATAGTAATTAGATAGACTCAGATAAAAGCTGCATACTCCATGATACTCCACAAATTGCATCACAGGCCTTGCAACTTGGGAAAACGAGTGTGATCAAGTTATGACTGTCAAACTGCTTAATACTACAGATCCTCATTTCCACTAAGTTTTTTGTTTCATACTGAACAATCAAGGATAAACAGTCTAAAATAAATTAGACATCAAAGCAGCCAGAATAAAGATATACGGAAGTCATCGGACGATCAGAATACAACATCAAAAAAAGTTCGTGCCTTAATTACGTTGAACTAAGTTCCATTTTCGCTCTGCCATCATCGCACCCATTAAGACTAGTTGAATTTGAACGAAGGGCTTCAAGGAAAAAGAATAATCTTTCTGGGATAAAGATCTGCAAAGCAATTTCCTGGCATACAGCGCTTGTTTGATGCGACCTGTTCATGTGTTGCGTCGCTGTGACTTGTCGTTTCAGGTATCGTGGCCGTAAAAGATTATTTCGAAAAATGTCTATCAAAGAATTAATGGTTACAAAGAGTGTCTTGTAAACGGCAAAATACCTTGTTCATTACTTCATGCTTCACTAACGTTGCGTAACAAGGAATAGGTTTTCTCCGAGTTTTTTTTCTCCGAGTTCTTGTCCAGCGGAGGTGGCTTGAGATGCTTTATCAGCCTCTCTTCCCAGTTCTTCCTCTCAGTGAAGTCATGATGATCCAGAAAGGTTCTGTTGCGAAGGGCCTTAGGCAGCTTGCTCCGGTCAACACCATCGATACGCACCACAATAACAGAAGAGTCGCCCATCTCTGTACTCCGATATAGCGCCATCTCTAGCTCTCCGCGACAGAATTTGCTCGACATGTAGTTATGGGACATTACAGCCAGAACTTTTCGGCTCGTGTACACGCTCTCTGCCATGTTGTCCACTACAGGCTTCCCAGCCTGAAAATCTCTGTCATGGATACAGTACTTAAGCTTATGCTTATCTAGGAGCGGCAAGAGTTCTTTCTTAACCCAGTTTAAGTCCTGGCTGCTGAACGTCACAAAAACATCGTACCTAAACTGGCGGCCATTGACTGGAGTTTCTGGTAAATGAAACAATCGGGTAGGGTAAACTAGGGTTAAAATTTTTAATTACCGTAAAAATTTCTTCTTTTAATTGACCATACCCCAAGCATACGAGTTACGACCCTTTATCTTGTAGGTATATCTGAAATTAAGATTTTTGACCATTGCCTTAGCTGGTCTTACTTTGTTTCATATTTTTTTCTGAATTAGATCTGGAGTAGATAAAGGACAATACTTTTACCCTCCGAGTTTTCTCCTGCGCATTATCAGGCCAGTTTTGTTGTTTACCCTACTCTCGTGCCACGGACCGCAAGTAAATAATGAAAGAATTGAACATCAGCCTTTTCCACTGACCATAACTCACGGTGAGAAAGGCTCAAAAATAACCTGAAACTTAGTATGAGAACTTAATAAATGTAATAATAATCTAAATGTGCAAGAATCGTAGAACACGAGCTGTCTCTCGTATGATATTAGCGAGCCGCGCGGAACTCTGGGAGCAAGGCGTATGAATAGTAGGTTTTCGTAGTTTTTTTGGGCCTCATTTCCAGACTTCCACGCGGCGCACTTGCATCAATTTTTTTCCGCTGACTATTTTTGCTCTTGAGCAACAGACTTTACCGAAAAGGAGGAACTGCCCGTAGTCTGCAAGAATCGAAACATAAATGTTGCTATTAGAGCCTTACCACTATGTTATGATCACTCTTATTCAATCAAATAGACTCATTTTATTTTTAATCTTAGCTTTAGGGTCAAGTCGTATTTAAAAAAATTATGTATAAAAAAACTATACCAAAGAATGGTTCTTCATCACTGCGCTTTTTTCTGCAAAGTCTGTAGGCAAACAAAGCTGCAATGAAACCCATTATAACGCCGCCTGCGGTAATGGAGCTGATGGCGACCAGCGGACTTTCACTAGACTCAACGCCGGCAATTCCATTTTTATCTAGAAAAAAAAGAATCGTTTTTCTTAAGTCTTAAAAAGATTAAAATATGCTCAGCTTGAAATTAATCAATTGAATTGTAACCAACCAAACAAACAAACAACTGAACGTACAAACGAAAACACAAGGAACACTAATTGGCAAGAAAAAAAATATAGTGCCCACTGAAAGTAGATACAAGGGCCGTGTAACCTTAAACTGAATTAACATCATGTCTTTTCATTGTCTCAGTTTTGTTTGATATCCCTCAATTATTTGTAGACTACAGAGTATGCACCTTGATAGCGCTCACATGGAATTCTCAACTGAGGTTTTAACTATATATCCTGCTCTTTAAATTTTCATGAACCAAATTAAAAATGTCGAATGAAAATTTTTGAATGTTATAGTTGTTATTTAAATTCACTGCACAATTAGTTATTTGAATGTTAATAGTAATTTACTTAATAGTAGAAAAACTTTGCAACAGAATTCCATCTGACGAGAATAAAACATGAAATAAGACGGTCAGATGATGAACGAAATGCCATATGTACAAAGAATATATAATGCTTGAAACATACCATCGGCTTCTTCTCCTTCGAGGGTGACGGAAACTCTCGCTTTGACAATAATTATTTTGAAATCTGCAGCGCAGATATACCAACCAACGTATTGATCGCTTACATTAGATATCTGAAGCTGAAACAAAACCATCTTTGTTGAGTTGGTTCCTTCTCGAGGGCCATATGATTTTGTGTAGTATTGCAGTGCGGACTTTTCGTGAATCCTAGTGTTGTTAAAGATCCAAAAAGTCTCCGGCTCTAGTAGCTCTGATGGATATGAAACTTTGCAGGTCAGACGGACAGGAGATCTTTGATTTACAAACGCTTTAGCTGGATTTGCAGAAATCCGAAAATTCTCTGAAAAGATAGGAAAAAAAGTAAGTGCAACTTATCAAGGGAACCATTTCACCCTCTTCTCCCAAAAGTGATTGGTAGCTATATATTCTAGTGACACTATATTCAACACCAGCAAAGGCAAAATGATAATGAGGAGTAAAATATTGTTAAAAAATGCGTGGGAGAGAAGTTTTTAGACTTTGGTTTCTGCTGTCATCCTATACCACGCCACTCTCCCTTCCGTGAGCGATCATAAATACAGAAGTTACCCGAGCATGTCTTGTTTTAAAATGGTTATATTTAGATAGGACGTCCTGACCATAAAATCTTGTTGCAAGTTCCATAAAAAACCTCCAGCATAAATACATCTCTTTATCTTTTGCATTGATTGTTTGTCTATCTGTCATTTCCTATTTTGAAGTGAAGAGATGATTCTGGTACAGTTGGACTGTAATTTTAACAATTGCGGAAAAGAAGCTTGAGCAAAATCCAGGCTTCGACGGGATTCGAACCCAGGCCTCCCAGATACTCAAGAATCGGGCGCTATCACCGACTGAGCTAACGAAGCCACACGTTGCACGGGAGAGAGCAGATTTTAGAGGGTTCTTCTTTCCCGTAAAGAAATTGATAACTACTTGTAATGAAATAAATTTCATGTAACATGC